ACCAGGTTAAATGATCTTCTGATCATTTAACCTGGTTTTCGTTCGGCTTAGGGAAGCAGAAAATATTGGCGTTGGTGAACCCATACGATTAGTCACATACAAAGCACGAGAATTGAAAAGTCTGTTTTTTGCGACTTGCTCTTTGGATTCTTTGGATTAGAGCTCAAATGACATCTAAACCTTCTTTCTTCAACTTACAGAACGCTGCAAAAATCGATCGGGAATCTGTTGAATGAGAAATCAAACCAATCGCAACTTTCACAAAAGCTGCAGTGTGTATGAAGTAAAAAAATTTCGCTAATTGGCATTCGCTGTAATATTGAGCTTCTCTTCATAGTGAAAGTCGGTGTACCGCCGCTTCATGTTTGTTGCCTCGATCGGCGAAGTTTACCATTGCCAATATACTATAGCTGAATTGTATCCATGGAACAGTACAACGTTTTTCGATACAAGAATGATATTGTTTGTCAAGCAAATGTTTTTGGCGAGGTGCGTAAAAGCATGGTTTGGAAAAATGCCTTCAGAACTGTTCCTTCGCTATCCACTTTTCCTTTTGAGCTTTTCCCTCCTTTTTCCTATGAGCTTTGGAAGTGAGCTATCGAAAAATCGAATACCACGATATGCACAGGTGGTTGAAGAGAGTTGTGTTTACTCAGACTACTTATTGTCTAGGATACTAAAAATTTTAAACCATAAAATTAAATATTATGCATGCACTCTCTCTATGTATTCATATATTTGAGGGATGGACCCAAAAAATGTTTATACCGCAACGCCTCTCTATCTTCCTTTACATACCTACGGAATGAAGCTCTTATGTGACATTTTGTCTACCTACTCTATAAAAGTGTCGTTTTATACAATTTTGCTCGGGTCAGCGTTTTTAGAGTAAATGAATACAAGAAATGGCCTGCGCATACAATCTGGTCAAGGCCTTGTTCAATAGGGCGTGAAAGTACTCTATTGCCGTTGTACACCAATAAAGGATAAATATGGGTTCACCAATCAGAAAACGCAACACTTCTCATTTCGGTCCCACGCACCACCTTTGAACGCTGTAAATCCACTGGAACAGGAAAATCAATGATTACAGCTAAGCTTCGACCTAATTCAATGGAGTTATTGGTTGCTCATTAGACTGTTCTTGAGGCTATAAGCCAACTCGAACAAATCTTACAAACGCTCGATATAAATGATACGACTTCGAGCGTGTGACTATGCACAGAAAGCTCTTTGAAAAAAGATTAGTCATGTCGCTTGCTTCAGTTAAAATTTAAAATAATTTTCAACTCATCCAAAGGAGAGTGTATGCGATTACTGTTATATTACTTTACTGATACCATCATTTAAGGTCAATTCTGTGGCGAACTAATACCGGAAAATGAGTGAACCTCTATTGGTTCTGTTTGTTTGACTTACTAACATACCACTCTAGTATATACAAACTCACTCGCGGAATGATGAAGCGAGTGGGAAACAGAGGCGAAAAGTAGTGGATAAAGACTAATACGCTATAAACAGGAAAACCTTGGATGACACTAATGAGAAGCAACCGTGTTTTTTCCGTGATGGTGAACACAACACTTACTCTGAGAAATCTTGGTATGAACAGACCTAAACATATCCCTATTACTAGAATACCATTGCCACTTGAGAACATCTGATAACAATATCGTTACACTATTGTCGGCAGAGGCATTCAGGTTTGCAGCAATTGGGAGCGTAGAATTGCACATTGGATGAAGGCAATCCTAGGATCTCATGCAGGTCCGTTTGCTATTTAGTGTCATAGAGCTGGGTATATTTGTAAAGGCATAAATACAGAATCGCTCGCTTAATTTCACGCAAGAGCTCTGCCTTTTTCCATTTTGTCATTTTTCTGCTGCTTTATAACAGTACAACGTGGACCGCGTCGGAAATTGTACAGTATCGTGAATTTACCATCGCACCCAACTCACCTCGGCTGAGCTTTTGTAGTGGAACAGACTGCTCAGAAGAACAGCTATCTCTCATCTGCCCGAAGCTTTCCAAAGCCTGTCCAAATACAACCTTAAACTTAGCCTTGAAGCGACTAGTTTTCCATTCTAGGATGTTGTCAGTGATCGTCTTCTCTCGTCTGGTGAACATGATGCAGCACATCCATTTTAAGAGCGACTCCTTCTAGTGGGCAACAACATGGTGAACTGACTGCCCAAGATGCGTAGCCACCGTATGCGTAATTGGTACCGCCAAGAAGAGCGAGAATGCTGAGCTTTACAATTCATTATTACTTCGGCGCTTGTCTGCACTAATAATAATTCCACTCAATTTAAAAATGCAGGCTTGTTTAGATCAAGTCCCTTTTTCCCCGAGAGGCTCAAGTCTTAAGGCACACTTCATGAAAAAAATGGTATCTGAGTTCTTCCCCTAGGAATACCCAATGGCCCCCAAGGGTAACAGGAAGTACTCGTCGAGTCCCAAAACTCAACAGCTGGACATATTGGTAGCTTCGTTACTGGATCGCCCGGATTTCCCGCCCCTCGATCGATGTCACGTCAGACGAGCCGAGGCGATACAGATTACAATGTTCGTTCTGGGATCCACACCTAATCAGCTGATCGCCGAGTGATGAGGCGACGTTTTTCTCCCATTCTTCTTTTCTCTGTTGTTCTTTTTCTCTGCTGCGGTCCCTTATTAATTTTCTACCCTAAGGGGCTCAAAAGGTGGGCTCCCTTTGCTGTTTCACTAGGGTTTTTTGTTAACCTAAGCTTATGAACGAATGAATTTGTTTACCGTATGCAGCGATTCGCACCAGGACCCACACGTACGCAGTGACATACATTGTACAGCTCATCCAAACGCCCCATTCTTCTTCATTTTTCTGGTCTCATTCTCATCCCCCCCCCCCCCCCCTTTTAACGTTTTTTGAGGCCTCTTCCGTTTTGCAAAACACCGACTCACCAGTTCTTCGCCTTCCTCGCACTGTTTTCCATCTTATCTTTCATTTTCGTCGTAATCTAATTTACCCAAAATTATCGTGAACGGTGCCTTTGAGGATGACGTTTGATACCCTTTGGAAAGTAAATGGAAAACTTCAACTGCAACGTATTTTCTGACTCCAGCGTCGAAGATTGCATCAAATTCGATCACTGCTCAGACGTGACTGACTGACCTGTTGTTTCTAATTATTATGCAAAAGTCTCGGACTGACCTGAGAAATCATGCTGATTTAGGCCATTATCCTCCTTGCCGGTATTTCCCTACTTGTCCATCGTTATTCTTAAATTCTGATAGGCAAAATCTGAGAAGTTACTATTCGTACAATCCCACTTCTGCATGGAGTACACACATGGCTCCTGCCACGAATACCCGTTAGTATGCGGTGTACTTGTGGCGTTTGTGAGCGATGCGTGCCAGTGATGAGTGCGCTTGTGATGCCGGCACCAAAGGTCATCTCTGGGCGCTCCGCAGGGCGTACGTTCTTCGGCTTGCGCTGTCTGTTGCATCAGCCACATGTACAGTGTTTAGTCGTCACTATGTCTCGTTACGCTCTGTGTCGATATGACCTCGTGAGCGCCTATATAAATCGCTAAATTTCCACTATGGTAACCAACTCCCAACACGAGTTTCACCAAATTGAAATTTGTTCCTTATGTATTTATCACTGAATTTTCATGTAATAACATCTGCACTTTAATGTTCATGCCTTACTCTGTTGATTTATAGGAGGACCTAGATTGGATCTAATGAGTCCTTGATTCTCTACAAATGCTTCATAGATGAGTATTTTTCGCGCGAGCGGTGGTGTACTGGCAAGTAACGCACTATCACACACATGGGCTCGGGTTCGGATCTCGGATCGATATCCGCCTGGACCAATCAGGCCTCCCATTCCTCAGGGATCTGTTAATTGGCACCACTGAATCCACCAGGAGGACTCTAAATGGGAATCAAATGTGGTTGATTATCACCCGAAGTTAACCTTTATCCTTTGTGGTGCTAGATGGCACAGGTTAGATGCAGTCTTAACTGTTTGACGAGATTGAGGCATGCCACATGGGATGCAACGTTTCTCTCTCAGCGCTATTATTCGTAGTTGTTATTAAATTATATACGATTATTACCTTCACATTACAACAGTTGGTTGAATATTCTCTTCTAATATTTGACAAAGGACAACTAGTGTGTGTGTGCGTATTATTTCGTTATCCAGTAAACGATAGGTTTGCGCTCGCAGCTCAACCTGCCTGCGAAAAATTAGCGCACGAGTTGTGCACGACATCTGCTTAATTATTGCGGCAACTATTTAGCTTTTGAATCAAGTAATTCGTTGAGGGGACAAGAGCAGCTATTTTCATTTCCACTCATGGTAGCAGACTACCATTGTGTACAGACAGTAGCTATCTTAACTCACGTTTCTTTTATTCGGTTTTCAAGCGGGATTGACTGCAAAGGGCGGAGAAGTTTCATCCACCATTGACCGCTATAGGAGGGATCGCCGATTTCGCGAGCCCACAATGGTGCCAAGAAGATGTGGTTTTTCTTAACTAATTCTAATTAGGGAATAGAAACAGGTTGGGTGAGCCAATTGAATGTTCAATTACTCCCCCATCGCAAATCTGCATTAGGTAATCATCTAACCCGTCCGGTGCTCCTCCCTTCCCCAAAAATCGATAAAACCAATTTTTTGCTATGAACCGCCTCTGAGCATGAGTAAAGTTAGCTAACTTTCTAATTAGCGCTCTAACGCTCAATGTTTTGAAGGGAGTGTGGCTCCTACACCAAAATTTTCACCAGGGTCAGTGACCTAACTGCAACACCAATTCAACATATGCCGCGCACAACTCGTCCGCCAATTTTCCGCGGGTAGGTTTAGCTGCGAGTTAGGTTTGCCAGTTACTTTGAATGGCTCTTTCTGAATATTCGTCGTGAAATAGCGATGCTCACCTCTTGAAAAGCCCAAAAGCTTTCATAACATAAGATGTAGTCTTTCAGATGCAAATTGCAGTGCGGCAACAGCTATGGATCTGAATTACATGCAGCTTCTTGCTGCTGCAGCCGCTACGCCGACAGCACCTCCGTTTACCTCGATTGGGCAGCAGGTATCCCCTTTTTGCCGTTTCTTATTTATGTTACGTCATTTGTCCTAGTGGCATTACGTAAGATTACTTTACGGCACTTGAAAGATTTTATTAAAAAAATATTTAGCAGCCAATTGCATCGAGTAGTCCTCTGGGTGAGTGGACTACTCGATGCCTAAGTCTAGTCATGAGGCAAGGTCGCGAAAGAGAAACAGACCTTGTTGTCTAACGTGTCCCTAGGTTTGTCGCGTTTAGTAGAAAACCAGCAGTTTTATTAGGCTTAATTTAGTTCATTAAAATGTTGATGAAAATGGTGGGAAATATGGTTTGATCTTTGGTTGCTCATTTTATTTAGCCTGAATGCTGAGCAATTTTCATCGCTTCGAACCGTTTATGTAATTGTTTTTTGCGAAGCATGTGAGTTGTGAGCATGAGGACTAACTAAATCGCTCAGGTGTTGGGCTCCATTGACTTCAATGCCTTACTACCTCTACTTTTTTTTTGAGAATTTCCTTCCAGAGGACCAGCTCTTTAATCAATTCTAATCTTTTCTAAGAATGGTGATGACAGGCAAATCGATACATTCGGAGTGATAATATCTGTGTACGGAACAGTGCAATCGTGACGTGCGTCAGGCTCACAAACTTTCGATAACTGCTAGGCGACAAAGCGATTTTATTGAGCATATTTGCTCTAGGTTTAGGTTTTGGCCTGACCAGTCACTAGAAGTATAATATAATGGGGGATTTCACTGAAATGAATCTGCCGGTATCCATTTCCACCCTACTAAATATAATTCGTGCGATTGTGTTATCCCCCTAAACATAATCCGCTGTACTTTATATGAACACATGTATTATTTATGTTCCCGGTCAGAAATCCGTAATCCCATTTCTTTGGACCTAGAGCGTTCAAACCTGGAATGTATACAGACTGCAGGTCGGAACGCTGATAATGTGTGATAGGAAGTGCTAACAAGTACTAAGGGCTGTTAGGTGGCCATAGATGGTAAAAGACACTGAGTGAGCGTCGCCCATTCTGGTACAGCGAAACCTGGCTTTTTGGTGGGTGATGTGTAGTGTGGTGGGATTGTAGAAACTAGGTGGCTAGAGCTGCAGTAAGTGGCAAAAGAGACCGAGTAGGTTGCGCCCCCTTTGGCCTAACAGTGGAAAATCAACACTTTAAAGGGATAAGCGGAATTAGTCGGTTTCGTGGATGATCAGTGGCAGGGGCTGCTAACAAGGATAAAGGATGGCCATAAGCGTTGGACTGTAAAAACAATCAGACCATTCCGCCTTTTTGCGTTGACAAAGAAGCTTTCCCTCTTCAGTGTGGATATAGGAGTGTAACTAGATACGCAGATAAGGGGTTACAGATTATGGCAACTGATGAAATATACTGGTGAAGGGGTCATTTATCATAGAAGTTACAAGCATTGGACATTTACGATGTGGCCTTAACGTCTTGATTCGCCTTATAGCATAGGACGGGATGGTAGAGTTGGTCGAAGAAAAATTAGTGATAAGTGCAATGATAACAGGGACCGGTTAAGGTTAGTACCATATGTAGAGGACGGCAAAGTTTGCAACCTGATGAATCGTATTCTCTTCATTCCGATATCAGTTGCCACAAAACACGCCACTCTGAGAATCTCGGTCAATGCTCTATTTCCATAAAGATGAGAAGGGTCACACATATGGACTTCTGGTAGTGATCATCAATCGACATCGTTGGTAGGTATGAACGAAGGCTTCGATTGACCCATCAAGTTACACAATAGTAAGGAAGTCGTTACGCCAGCTATTAAGTAAAGGAAGGATTGACTTTTTTAATGAATGGTTCTTGTTAAGAATTGGGTTTTCATAAGCGTAACAATTGCGCACCTTCAGAAAGACGAACAGTGGGTCAACCGTGCGTTATGACCTATGACGTTGTGACGAAGAGGAGGCCCGGCGTAAGCCTGGTGATCCGATTGGTTAAATTAAGAAATGGTCTGATCACCTCAAAAGACTACCATGGTTTACCGTTTCGTTTCCCCTTCATTTTACTTCTCAGAACATTATCAAACGCTTACTCCGGTTGACAGAATGCCATCATACTATCAAAGAAACATTTGTTACATGATCTCACGAAGCGCTCACCTTAGGCGCGCACACACACGCTATATATTTATACAGACAGTAGTGCTTGAAATGTATTGCATTGACCATAGTGCACTTTAAAATGCTATTACGATTCTACATGAAGAGCGCAGCAGTGTGGGACGCTACCACGTTGCAAACATTTTCAGCTTATTACTCGGACTAGACGTAACAAAAGTGTGTTCTCTTCTGCGGAAAAATATACTTTTTTCGCCCCATCACTTCTGCCCGATATGTATATTTAACGAGTTTTTCCCTAAGAACAAAACGAAAACAATCAACAGATGAATGATTCCACGTAAGATGATATGCATAACGCCGCATGTGTTTTTGGAGGCTTATCTTAAATCTGTATTCCAAAACTGCGAAAAGATTCTCTTACAAGGGAAGGATACATGGTCGCAGTGGCCGTTAAGATGAGATGTGTGCCGTCTTAGGTAGCTTCGAACGCTAATCTCAAATCCGTTCTAAATCTGCTAAACGATCCTGGAAACAAAGTTACGGTCTCAATGCCTCCCTGTTTTATACCACTGTGGCGAACGGGCCAAACAAAGGCATAGCTGCGCGGCGGTGGCGCCGCTGGTAGGATACTGGTTCGGTAAGCACGACATCAAAGTTCGGTTCCTCGATGCATGCGCTCGTTTTGCTTTTCCATGAAACTAAAGAAGGAAGCACAACTAACTAAGCGCACTAAACGCTTGCAAAACGTTACTGGGTGCTTTTTAAGTATTACAAGCAAATTCTGATCGGAATTCTGCTCAAACTTGGGGTCATTATGTTTATTGGGGGACTTTCGTTTGTGCAGCATAATTTGAGCACCGTACAGGAAGGAGCGGATATAAAGAGCCTTTCAACCATACTTTTTAATGCAGTGCAAACAAGCTCGTCCCCCCCTGCGAGGAAGACAAGTCGTGAAAGACGATCACAACGATCCTCTGCGGACACCGAATGATAAAAGCGACGATGGACCCGTAACATCGCGAGAGGAACCTAGATCGTCTGTGAAGAAATAGGGATTCCAAAGTAAAACGTAATCGCCAACTTCGTGATCTGGCCCATGAGCATCAGTTTCATAGCGCTGATAGGAGTCATAGCCTTCTACAGTTCCATTGGCAAAAGGAGCCGCACTTTCTCGTACATGGAAAACACGTTTCGTATCGTCACGGCAGAGTGCCATCTATAGAAATTAAGGGGAAGTGCGAAAGGCCATGTGCTTTCGAATTAGTCTGTTATCGACAACTTATGATCCTGTTTTATATAATTCGCTAAGTGTGTCTTTGGTGTGTCGGCGTAGGTGTGTTTGACCGGAAATTCAAACATTTGTGGGTACCCCCCCCCCTTCCAATTAATGGATAAGCTGGTGTCTTATATAATTGTAACTAACAGGTGCAAAACAAGCGATCAATCTGTATATCTAACGAGGTAGCGCGCAAGTTGGAAGGATAGGTTTTATAAACACAGGAGTGTCACTTCCAATGAATGGCGCTTCGTTTCAACAATGGAGGCCCATAGGAGACAAATTCAAAGCAGCTCACATATGGATTCAGGGTTTTGAGTACAGCCGTGATATGGTATCCCACCGCATCATCACGTTTACCCCGTAAAAGGGCTTCTGGAAAGGGCGTTCACCTCAAGTACTAGCGTATAATTGCAGTGTGCACAAATTGGATAAACTATTGTTCCGCAGTATTTCATCAGCAATTACTGTCAACTTGTTCACCGCTTCGAAAGTGCGGACAGTATTCCTAGAAAGTGTGGTCCTTGTCTTTCCCAAAGAGGGTTCTGGTCAGATGAGTCATTCAAACGCCTTCTACCGTAGGTGAAGGGAGCTGGCGAAAATCTCGCTATCTTGACTATTCGGGGTAGAGGAGCGTTTCGGACAGTGATGCTAGAAGACTCCTATTGAATAACTATTCCCCGGAGTAATAGATTGAGTGGAAGCTCCGTAGATGCCCGACATTGGGCCCAAAAATCAAACCTTCGTAGCAGCTGCGCCACCAATCTGCTGAGGTTTTGCTCGGTTCGGTGAGCTGTTTGGTACAGTGGTATAACACAGGGACGCACTGATCCCGTAACATTGTTCCCAGAGTTGTTTCGCAGATTTGGGATCAGCATTCGAAACCACCTACGGCAGTGCAAACCTTGAACGGCAACGGCAACCAAGTACCCTTCCCTTGTTAGTGAAGATACGAAATCATTTATCCTGTGTTGCATAGAATTCCTCAGGCATACGAATGCATCAGCCTGCCGTGGCCGATGTGAAGCGATGACGCAGTTGGTAGGGTGAACAGGCGTAACATAAGGACCTGCTTGGCTGATGTGCGAGCTTGTTTTGCTTACCATAAAATGAGTTCTCAACTACTGCGAATGATTTTATGCTTTTTATTTACTATCCCTCACCCAAAAAACACGGAAAATAATCTTCCCGAAAGAGCTCCGTCCTGGTCTTTCTAAATTTGAAAAGATGCCCTCCATGTCTTATATACTTGATGCGGGATTACAAAATTTCGGGCCTTGCATCTTGAACAGTAGAGATCAAATGGACTCATCATGCAGCAGTAGAGGTCGAAGTACATTTTAAAAAAAAGTTATTTTTTAGCGTAAGTCAGTAAGCTCATACTATTGAGCTGATCGGAGTGCTTTGTTACTGTCTACCAGAACCCTGTTCTATCGAAATGTTGCGGTTGCACTTCATAGGGATTACGTTTCCTTAGGCTTTATGCACCAAGCGAAAGGAGTCATCTAACTCTGAGCAAATTGAGCCCCAATTTCGAGGCATATACAGTAGCGCTCAAAAGTCCTCGGTGAAACGGTTCTTCAGCCGTACTTTAAAGCCGTAACTCCTTTCCTACAGGATCTAATCTTGCAAAATTTCTATATTTGGAGTGTGGGTGTATTGTAAATATTTGCCACTATTAACTTGCAATTTGATCGTGTTCTAGATATTCCAAAGAGCATGAACTCAAAATGGACTGAAAATACAGATGATCGCCCTTCTAAAATCTCTTCTCTTTTTGTCATCTCTAAAGTGTACGAGCGGTAATGCCGAATACAATAGATGAGAAAACCGCACATAAGGTGCGAATTAGTGTAGGCGTCAAAATTTTACTTTTAGCAAAATCTGCTACCGCAACAAACACCTTGCTCTATCTGCAGATATTGCAGCTTCGCAGTCAAATAGTGTTGGGTAGGGTGAAATATGCTCTAGTTAAACATATCCAAATTTCGCTCGATTTGGTCCACTAAGAAAAAAGTTATGGATGAAAAATGGTCGAAGCATTTCACCGAAGACTTTTGAGCGCTACTGTATCTTTTTTTTTTTTTTTTTTTTTTTTGGAACTCTGGACTGGAATTGGCTCGTATAGGGGTTGGAGAAAGGAAAGACAGCACTGTTTTCAACGAGTATTAAGTGGCTGCTGCAGATAGCAAGGGCAGTAAGACTACTTCATTGTCAAGCGTTCATTCTTTGGGAAGCAGAACGAGTTCATAGGTTGTTAACACTCATGCTGTATGTGAAGTTCTTCATATTACTACGCGCCAAAGTTTCACGTCAGTGGCAGTACATAACGTGTTTACATGTTCGACAGAATCCAGCTGTGGAAGCTGAACAATCTGGGGAACAGAATATAATAAGTGGCTGTGGAAATCTTGGGTTTGAACTCTCGTCGAGCTTTGTTGCTGAAATTGTTCCGGAGCTAGGAACAGAAGTATGAGTTCATCTTTAGACGTTGGACAAGTGATGTTTTACTTATTGGGAGCTGTCTCGTGGTCCGTATGTAATGCGTTTGAATTTCAGCCGCTTGCGTTTAACCAGCCGACACTACTGCAAAATCCTTGGCTTCAACAGCAATATTATCAGCGACTAGCTCTACAACAATACTTGGAGAATGTAAGAAGTACGTAAGGTTGAAATATCGCGATTTCATATAAATTCTATTGCCATTAGATTGGTTCCCATGACTTTCATGAATATGTCCATGTTTCTGACTTCACTCCGAATTGTCAAAACGGGAAAAAATCTGTGCAATAAGTTGCGAAGGGCAGCGATTTGTTTCCTTTTAATGAAGGCTGCCCCAATCAAATTGAAATCTGGGTGGAAGGCTGGGTCAAATCAGAGAGTTGAGGATGAGGATGTAACACCTCCATTTATGTGACTAGATACCTGTCATATAAATTTTAAGTACTCAACCATATGCTGATTTACTGCAGCACATATACTGGTATATTCATCCGAATGTGTTTTTCACAGCCATCATCGCGCATTACTGCGAAAGCTGAATAGGAAGGAAGAGGTTTCAATAAAAGCTGAGCATATGTTCTAGAAAATTTGAGGTTCGGCAGTCACAAAACAAAAATCAAACGGAACGTAGGCAGTCAGTTCCCTCCTTTTCCCATTCACTTGACAGACGTCCTACTTAGCCTAAAATAACGTGACATTCAAATAAATGGGAAGAAACTAATTGCTTATCACACTAATTTTAAGCAATCATTTTTGTGGCATTCATGAAGGCTAACTTATGGCGTACGCTCTAACCCTTCACAGAGTCCCATTTGACAAGTTTGTTCCTTAGGATGTACTCCTTTTATTGTTAGTATTCAGCTCCTATGTCGATCTCACCTCTTATGCTACCAACAACACTTCCAACAACATCTTTAGCATCTTCAAAACCTGACGACAACATCAGACCTCGGATAAACACAACAGTACGTGTCGTTAGAATCATTTCCTGACTTCACAGGACATTCTTATGGACTGCTTTACAGCCGGTCCACATCGCTGCATCGTACACGCTATCAGGAGATTGCGGTTTGGTTGCTCCGGCTCCGAAACGTGCCCGACTTGTGCTGCCCACCATTAGTGATGAAGATCAGAAGCGAAAATCGCTTCTCGAACAGCAACCACATATCGCATCCTTGCCGACTCAAGCTGTACAAGCCGAACCACCTGTTGCCAGTACTCATGTCCTTCCGTCCACCTTCACGTCGAATCCATCATATGGGACATCACCCTCTACAGGTAAACACAGTGTCTTACTAAGTAACAGTTTTAGAAGTTTCTACGACTAGTCGTCTTGTGTGTACTGACAGGACATGTAATATAACTACGAAGCCCATGTATCGTGTATAGTCATTGTAACAGTATAGCTAAAGGATGTTATAGTCAGAACTGTGTATACAGTTCGTCAATCGTGGATTTTTTTCGATTGAGGTTCTATAACTAACTAACTACTTCCACTCGCACTGCAACTGTTTTCGTTGATTAGAAAGTGACTGAAATAGTCATGATGAAAAATGATTGGAATTATGATGATGGCAAATGATTAATGACTTTTTGTTACATATCACTAAAACTATCCATCAAAAACTAAAACTAACAAGCCATGAAGTCATAATGAAAAGGCTCAGGTGTAGTTGATGTGAGCGGTATATTGGTACTGGCAATAAAAAAGGGTGGGAGTTCGTTATAGAGGTTGAATCTACGAGCAGCTTAAGCGGCCAGTCGCTAACGACCGGCGACCGGTCGCGCGACTGGTCGCTCGCAAAATCGTGGACTATGAAAGGTGTCTACTAGTGCCTTTGGAAACGGCTGATCGCTTCCTTAACTGATCCACTATCAGTATAGTCTTCACTGCGTCATGCCCGGTTTTCAATAGATAGGATATTAGCAAAGTCTCTTTTGAGTTTTTTTTTGTGAAAATTTCTTTTCAAGCACAGAGAATTCACCTGTCTCAGAAATTTCGAGAGAATTGCTAGTCCTTGCTATGCAGACCTCAATAAGGAATTTTTGAAAAGCAGAAATTGTAGAAAGATTTTTTTATTACTTTCCTTCTTCAAACATAAAAAGGTGAAAGTCCTATTCGTGACAGTCAAGGGCACGATTTTATGAAAACCAGGTCAACACACGAAACACTCATCAAAACAATCGCCATCATCCTTGAACCCCCGTACTAAGAGTTGAAAAGATGTGTAGAAACTGCGACTTTGTTAGTTGTTTGCATAACATGTGTAAGCTTCAAGTCATTCTGCTCATCAGTTCTAGACAATTAGTAGTAGTTCTGTATTGTCCATTTTTTGAGTTCCTATAAAGGGTGGAATTTGACTTCGATCCAGTTAGTCGTCCGTGTGAAGCCTAGGGGGAATGTGGATCGGACTGTATGTGAATGTGGTTGAGTTGTGTCTAAACTAAGCACGATATAGAAAAAAAAGTTCAGAATGAGATGTGATCCTCCCTAAAAGGCCAAGATTCCAGAAACAGGAGCTGAAATGGGTTGTTCACCAAGCACTTCAGTGGATGCGCCTGTTATATCGAAAGAGGACGAAGAACCAGAGTTGTTTATCGACATCGAATCAGTCGACAATCGTCCAGAAGGACGGGACCGTCGTCGTGCTTACATCGACTTCTATCGTAAAGTAAAGAGTGCACGGCAGAGGTACGAGCCTATCTCCTTCAGCTTGCTTATCACATTATGAGCTTGAAATTATTGGGAAGTGACGGGCAGTATGAAGTTGCCGCTCTAACTCCAGGTATGTTTGTGAAGCTATCTCGAGTGGCTCAAATATACAATAGTCAAAGGTACAGTCTACGATAATTTTATGTATTGGTTTCAGATTAATACTGGAAGTGATCGCCCAGAATAGTGCGAAAGTGACGAAGAAATCGCGAAAATTGGCGTATATGGAGAAACATAGGGTTTCAAGAAGGAACTAAAACTAGGGGTCGGATGGGAATGTTACGAGAAAAACTGCATTGAAGAGGTATTTGGACCAGCTGTTTGAATGCGCACGCCATTGCATACAGGTGGCTGCAGTATGGTGCCCGCGTGCAAAATGTTTGTTTCGGTGTCGTAAAAAATTAACAAGATAGTGTGGCTGTACAAGCAGGACGATCCAGATGGTATTGGCAACTATGTTGGCACGCCACGACGTAAGTCCCATGTACGGTTTCTATGAACGTCGGCATAGATATATTACTGAGTTCATTGTTATCTTGAACTTTTATGAGGTTTGTAAATATCCTTTATTAGGCTGAAGTTTCAGCGGAATCGCCTTCTTCATTGCCTGAAAGAATCATAACAGTCTGTGACTTCGGTCAAACGTTTCCACCAACCCACTAAATTCGAGACCCCCAGGGCACGCAGGTGGTCAAAAGAGAACCATTCACCGTAACTTTGTGGATTTTTCGAAACCACCAAGCAACTGATGGTATCAACCAAAGGGTGTGTGACGGGTGTGACTGAC